TGGATGGGAAACCTTCCTGGTCTGTCGTGTTGGATTAGATAGAAGTATTAGCTGGGAAGGTCTCCCATTTGGCACACAGAGTGCTAGACACGATGCCATCAAGCTGGAGACAATTACAAGTATATCAACATTACACTTACGAATACAATCGAGATTCGAGACGATTACGTCACATCTCATGCCAAACGTAAACATATCTACATGTTTTCCGACGTGGTTTACAACAGTATGATGCTGTAAACATTTAACCTTTGATCGTCAATGTCAAAACATTGTTTGTGTTTATTAATACAACTGTATGAATTGCACGTGTACATTATTATATGTGAAGATTACGACACGGTGGTTACAGTGCGATATGTAGACAAGCTCCCGAGAGTCTGTCCTCTACTGACATATCGTCCTTACAATGAACAGAAGAATCCCTGGCACTCTGTTCAGGGTCTGTGGATACATGAGATGGAGACAGTGTCCAAGACAACTGAACCACTCAATGACCACGCCACGCAATGTCATCTCACTGATCATATCTACAACTTATACACAACGGCATTACATCATATATCGCCCTAATCCGGACACAATATTCTTTCAATGAGCTGACCAGTTATATATAAATCTTGATCCGAATGACATATTTCATTAAATGGTAATTATCCATTTTATAACATATAGTCGTACAGAATCTGCCTCAGTAGAACGTATGATAGGTAATGATAAATATGTTCAAACTAAATATAGTTCTGTGCGGTGTACATTTGTGTTTTTTAAAAATGTAACAACACATTGGTACTAACATTTAGATTCTACTTTGAGGATTTATGAGAGAATGTATTCATAGCTCCATTAACTACAAACAAATCCCCGCATTTTTACCTTTTCCCTGAGTCAGAGAGTGTCAGGCATGCCAGGAGACCCTACTCTATGAATTCCTTTCTGGTAAGTAGTATAATTGAAAAGTAAATCGTTGTTGTGTTTCGAGTTGTGTGGCTATCAGTTTGATCTACTCTCTGACAAACCAATGTCAACGATCATATCTACCGTTTGAACACAGCGTCCTCACTAAATCGTGATCAAACAGACAAATAACACTCAAGTTATTTAAACTGTTATTGGGATTAATTGGAATACAACGCCGTGTTAGGTCAATATATGACAAACTTATGACGCCCAATACCGAAATTTACATTTCATCTTTTCATTAATGGAATCATTATTTACTTAATTCTCAAGGAAAACAGAGTTCCGGTTGGATTTCCCCTCCATACTCTTGTTAATCCCACAGGGGAAAATGACTTCGATAGAAACAGAAGATTTATCTAAATTCATTGTCCGAAATTAGCATCATTATGACACGCCCTTTGAAACGATATTGGTTGGGACATAGTAATTTCCATTCCTCCATTCTATTTCTCCCAGTTATCCTTCAGGATGTATAGTAATATAACCCCGGTACATTTCAATGGTAAATATTTCCGTATTACACTTTTGTCCTCTTTTTTGTAGATTCGGAGTTATCACCGATCGAATATTCAATACACAAAAGACTGTCATGCTGGATGTCCGTAATACTGTTCTATACCCTGATACAAGAGAATACAAAGTTGATACCCGATACAAGAGAATACTAAGTAAGTTGATACAAGAGAATACAAAGTTGATACAAGATACAAGAAAATACAAAATTGATACAAGAGAATACAAAGTTGATACATGATACAAGAAAATACAAAATTGATACAAGAGAATACAAAGTTGATACATGATACAAGAGAATACAAAGTTGATACAAGAGAATACAAAGTTGATACAAGATACAAGAGAATACAAAGTTGATACACGATACAAGAGAATACAAAGTTGATACAAGAGAATACAAAGTTGATACAAGAGAATACAAAGTTGATACACGATACTAGAGAATACAAAGTTGATACACGATACAAGAGAATACAAAGTTGATACACGATACAAGAGAATACAAAGTTGATACACGATACAAGAGAATACAAAATTGATACACGATACAAGAGAATACAAAGTAAGTTGATACAAGAGAATACAAAGTTGATACACGATACAAGAGAATACAAAGTTGATACACGATACAAGAGAATACAAAGTTGATACACGATACAAGAGAATACAAAGTTGATACACGATACAAGAGAATACAAAATTGATACACGATACAAGAGAATACAAAGTAAGTTGATACAAGAGAATACAAAGTTGATACACGATACAAGAGAATACAAAGTTGATACACGATACAAGAGAATACAAAGTTGATACACGATACAAGAGAATACAAAGTTGATACACGATACAAGAGAATACAAAGTTGATACAAGAGAATACAAAGTTGATACACGATACAAGAGAATACAAAGTTGATACACGATACAAGAGAATACAAAGTTGATACACGATACAAGAGAATACAAAATTGAAAGTTGATACAAGAGAATACAAAGTTGATACACGATACAAGAGAATACAAAGTTGATACACGATACAAGAGAATACAAAGTTGATACACGATACAAGAGAATACAAAGTTGATACACGATACAAGAGAATACAAAGTTGATACACGATACAAGAGAATACAAAGTAAGTTGATACAAGAGAATACAAAGTTGATACACGATACAAGAGAATACAAAGTTGATACACGATACAAGAGAATACAAAGTTGTTACACGATACAAGAGAATACAAAGTTGATACACGATACAAGAGAATACAAAGTTGTTACACGATACAAGAGAATACAAAGTTGATACACGATACAAGAGAATACAAAGTTGATACACGATACAAGAGAATACAAAGTTGATACACGATACAAGAGAATACAAAGTTGATACACGATACAAGAGAATACAAAGTTGATACACGATACAAGAGAATACAAAGTTGATACACGATACAAGAGAATACAAAATTGATACACGATACAAGAGAATACAAAGTAAGTTGATACAAGAGAATACAAAGTTGATACATGAGAATACAAAGTTGATACAAGATACAAGAGAATACAAAGTTGATACAAGAGAATACAAATTTGATACACGATACTAGAGAATGCAAAGTTGATACACGATACAAGAAAATACAAAGTTGATACAAGAGAATACAAAGTTGATACAAGAGAATACAAAGTTGATACAAGAGAATACAAAGTTGATACACGATACAAGAGAATACAAAGTTGATACACGATACAAGAGAATACAAAGTTGATACACGATACAAGAGAATACAAAGTAAGTTGATACAAGAGAATACAAAGTTGATACAAGATACAAGAGAATACAAAGTTGATACAAGAGAATACAAAGTTGATACATGATACAAGAAAATACAAAGTTGATACACGATACAAGAAAATACAAAGTTGATACAAGAGAATACAAAGTTGATACAAGAGAATACAAAGTTGATACAAGATACAAGAGAATACAAAGTTGATACAAGAGAATACAAAGTTGATACACGATACAAGAGAGTACAAAGTTGATACACGATACAAGAGAATACAAACTTGATACAAGAGAATACAAAGTTGATACAAGATACAAGAGAATACAAAGTTGATACAAGATACAAGAGAATACAAAGTTGATACAAGATACAAGAGAATACAAAGTTGATACACGATACAAGAGAATACAAAGTTGATACACGATACAAGTGAATACAAAGTTGATACATTTGAAGTGAGTGAAGTTCAAGTATGAATTTGAATAGCACATCAACAACATGACCAGGAGGTAAGGGTATGTACGATTTATGTTAACGTAGAAGTGGTTAAAACATATATAAACAGGACGTTGAATCATTTTATTGTAAATATGAAACAGTTCCGCTATACAATATGCATCTAGATTGTTTTTCATACAAGCACGACACTTGTAGTTGTCAATTTGTGAACTTCGTTTTAATGGTTCCTTTAAAATGAATATCATTATTACATCGCCGAAACACATTTAAGTCAAGTGACAATATGACATATCTTAAATAACTTACAAATATGAGAATTTCCTGTATCTAAGTATTGCCGACATTATAGACAGTCAGTCATCTCTGTATTATGTAAATAAAGCCACGCACAATTACCATACATTTCACTTTCAACAATAGTCTTTTGTACCAAACAGACCAAAATGAATTTTTTATTAAAAAATATTTTTTTCATATGAAAACATTAAAAACTCGCAGAAAAGTATCACGTCTCACAACGATACTGAAACATGAGAGCGTGACGTGATTGTTATCTAAGTCCACGGCAAAAATATATTGGTTACCTGTACAACAACAATTCACACAACGTTTTTATGTTCCTTTTAACAAAATATCGCCTTCTTGGCATTTTCGGATTTCAAGCAAAACGGGGAATTGCCATATTAAGATAATTCAAGTCGACATCACATACCTCTTTATCATGGTTGGTCTTATTTTCTTCAGTTAAAACCCCAATTTATTACTAGATTTTAATTTAATATTCAACATATATGGTGCTGGCGGTCCCGTACAGTAGTACATACCTGTAGGCAATGTTTGGTTTATTTCGAATTGCCAACTAGGCAAACATTAACACTATTGACCATTCACCGGGAATGCTTGTACGCTAAATATTTCTATAAACGATATAAAATAAACACGCTGACCATTTTTGTCGCTATGGTATGCTAGTTTTTGATGGAGCCGGTGAGAAATACAGTACGCCTCCCACAGCAGACCAAATGGTCAGGGTGGGAAGTAACTAATGGAGTAAGGATGCTACCGACAAACTACTGACCCACGCAAACCATATGTACTGTGAGTGACCCCCTTGATCCAGTAAGTAGGTGGAGGGCGCCGCAGACATGAAGGGAGTTCGTTTGACAAGATAAAAAAAAATCAAACTCATTACTGAATTGGTATAGACTAATTTCATGTTTACAATTCAAAGTAATAAAGAAATTATTGTAATTTTTAATATTACTCACCTTTCATCAATTCGTCATTTTCGACATTTTTCTGGTGTTCTTCATGATGAGAAATGCTAGCACAGTATCCGGACGGCCAGTCACAAACCACACTGTACCACAGTCCTATATACACTTTCCTCTTAGTGATCTTGTCTGTCCAGATTCCCCATCCCTGGCTAGCAAAACTGACCAGCTGAAGCAGAGTACACAATCCGGCCAAAACACACAAGGTCAAGGTCACTGCACGAGACATGGCTAGTCCCGTCTTCCTCATTTGGAGTACCAACTGACCTTCACCTTTGGTTTGAAGCTTTCCGCAGTGTATAAAATATATGTTTATCTATATACATATATCTATAAATAACTAAATGCAGTCAAATACCCTGGATGATATACTTGCAACAAGGAACAGTACATCCGTTAAAAATAGATTTAACACTAGTTATGTGACGAAATCCCGATGTCATGACATACTGAGGTGTTGAAATAATTATTCCCATCAAATAAAAACTTGCATTTCCTTATAGTGTGAGGCAGATCTGGGTAATATCCCGTTTCCACCGGACCGATCATGCCAGTAAGACCTAGTCATACACCTTGTGCTCCTCACGAGAGTACGTGTTGTCAGCTGCTCTGTCAACCCTGGACTGAATCCACCACCTGCCTGTGTTATAAGGTAGGCTATCACACGCTTCGCTACCCTGGAAAATGAAGCGGTACAGAACAATAAAATCACATTTTATTGCAGACATTAACAACATTTCCATGCAATCTCGCTAAAACACTGATGAGAATGAATGTTTTACGGGAAATTAGTGCTAGTCAGCTGCAATAATAGTCATGTCGATATATTTGGACCCGCATTCAATACATGTAGCCTGAACGAGCCGACTGTTATGATCAACTCGACTCTGTTTCAATATAACGTATAATAAAATGTGCGTCTATGCCATATTATATGAGGTAATATTGAAATGTTGAAACACATACATACAGGCCGATACATAACGTAAATAATTAAACATCTATTTTATTACATATTGATTCCATGTGGACGGTTTCATACAATAATGTACAATATCGTGTGTTACATACAGTAATGTACATTATCGTGTGTTACATACAATAATGTACATTATCGCGTGTTACATACAATAATGTACATTTTAGTGTGTTACATACAATAATGTACATTATCGTGTGTTACATACAATAATGTACATTATCGTGTGTTACATACAATAATGTACATTTTAGTGTGTTACATACAGTAATGTACATTATCGTGTGTTACATACAATATTGTACATTATCGTGTGTTACATACAATAATGTACATTATCGTGTGTTACATACAGTAATGTACATTATCGTGTGTTACATACAATAATGTACATTATCGTGTGTTACATACAGTAATGTACATTATTGTGTGTTACATACAATAATTATCGTGTGTTACATACAATAATGTACATTTTAGTGTGTTACATACAATAATGTACATTATCGTGTGTTACATACAATATTGTACATTATCGTGTGTTACATACAGTAATGTACATTATCGTGTGTTACATATAATAATGTACATTTTAGTGTGTTACATACAATAATGTACATTATCGTGTGTTACATACAATAATGTACATTTTAGTGTGTTACATACAATAATGTACATTATCGTGTGTTACATACAGTAATGTACATTATCGTGTGTTACATACAGTAATGTACATTATCGTGTGTTACATACAATAATGTACATTATCGTGTGTTACATACAATAATGTACATTATCGTGTGTTACATACAGTATTGTACATTATCGTGTGTTACATACAATAATGTACATTATCGTGTGTTACATAAAATAATGTACATTATCGTGTGTTACATACAGTAATGTACATTATCGTGTGTTACATACAATAATGTACATTATCGTGTGTTACATACAGTAATGTACATTATCGTGTGTTACATACAATAATGTACATTATCGTGTGTTACATACAGTAATGTACATTATCGTGTGTTACATACAGTAATGTACATTTTAGTGTGTTACATACAGTAATGTACATTATCGTGTGTCACATACAATAATGTACATTTTAGTGTGTTACATACAGTAATGTACATTATCGTGTGTTACATACAATAATGTACATTATCGTTTGTTACATACAATATTGTACATTATCGTTTGTTACATACAATGATTTACACTATCGTTAAATCCCAGAGTAAACATATACATGCATTAACGCCTATTTGTGTAAACGGACATACCTTACAACAAAACGAAATCAAAGTTCCCTCACAAGGGCTGGTATACTAAACACCGATACAACAAGAGATTGTTTGTGTGTTTGAGTACCAGGGAAAGCAAACACACGCACACTCTCTCATATATGTAATACATAATTTGAAATACACACAAGATCATTCAGTACACACAACGTTAGCCATTAGAGTCTGTTTACCGTTAAAAGTCGCTGCTCCACTAGCACGTGTTAAAAGACACACGACTTCAGATCCGCGCCATTTAACGCCACGGAACAAATTATAATTTTACGAAGCAGATGACTTCCGGCCAATCTTTTTACCGCTTACCTGTGAAATGCTTCGGTATAATTCCAACACAATACATATATAGAATTGTAGAAATGACCTCGCGCTTTATAGCTACAAAGTCTGTGAAAATGGAGTGTCTCGATATTGTAGGTCTTTACAAACCCGACCATGCTATGACTCACAAGTACTCTACACAAACACTAGTTTAAAACCTTTGTTAATGACAATGTTAAGCAGTGAAGCATATTTAGTATTATGACAAAAAAGACAAATAGTTAACAAACCTCAATTATTCCCTCCCCGAACTCGACGCCCTCGCGTTTTGTTTTTTTAATTTGTAAACTGACGCGGAAGATGGACAGATTAAATTGTTTTTAATAAACATCCATATCGTAGCAGGTGTTTTAATGAAGGCGCATGTCAAAACACTGTGTCCGTGTTTGATATGTATTTATGTCAGATTGTTTAAAACACATGTCAGAAATAGGCTTATCAGTATTGTATATACCCAGTTGTGTTCCTCAACCCTTCACGTTGGTTGAAGTTCACTTGAATAGGAACACTTGTTGATGATCAAGTACAATTTAAATTCAGTGCTATTTTCGAGAAAAGGAAAAAAAACTAACTAATAGTTTTCTAATTCATAAAAAAAATATTATGCATGTTCCCAATTCATACAGATACATGCAACTGTAAATAATAATAATAATAAAGCTTACGTGGTCAGGATAAGAAAATCCGCGGTTCCAGCACTGGACAAATACACAATCTTTGTGTATATTGGATATTATCAGTCGTATGAAAATGAGAAGTGAGTTTTCCTTATTCATATCAAAATGAATCGACGAGCTGGCAATGTCATGTCCCCGAGTTTGGTTTAAATATAGTAATTCCGCAGAGCTATAATTCTATAAAGACATTTTGTGATTTATAGTGTTTACTGTAGTACAAAACTGCTTTAATATTTCATGACAGTAGGATAAAGTGATGGTATGTTTTGTGTATTATAATACCACAGTGCGATTGTACCTATTGTGATTTATAAATACAGCGTGTGTCATTTGCACCAGATTTTTATTTTATCTTCAACAAAAGGTGTATACATTGACCATATATAGACTTAAACTGTCCATTCTCAGTCCCAACTGATGTCAACCTTATTCCATTGTACGGATAGAGTTGAAGCGAAGGGAAGTAACTCTGGAAGATCAGAATGAAAACTGCTGATAGACCGATCAAACCCCGTGCGTGTCACTGCCCATAATACGACGCCACTGACAACATCGATATCAATAAGATATCGATACTCATACTTTTTCTATATATAGGTACTGCCGAACAACAATATCGATATGTCTCCTCGATAACACTCCAACACACACACGTGACCTTAGTGTTGTCGTACTGAAAATACACTGTCTATAATTCTATCTCGGGGATGTCAAACATTCCCAGTGGGAAATATATGCAAAACGAACTATGATTGTGTGTTTGCTAAGTTGCCTCGTGAATACTCGAGGTCGTTTTGAGACGAGGTTTCCCTGTCGTCACCCAATAACAAACAGGAAGTCCATCGCATACCATCCAAACAGTGATTCGAGTAAAGTGTTTCTTGCCCAAGGATATGGGACCGATTATCATCTTCCCAAGAAACACAAAACCTAAAGTAGAACAAGAGGTCAAATGGGCCTGCAACGTTCAACTAGTATACATTAGGTAAAAAATGGGGGGAAAATGATATAAAATTGGTATAAAATAAATTGCTTATCTACTCTACTGCTTACAAAGAGGGCATTGTTTGTTCATAAAACATTTTCTGCAAACTTGAAATCATATTCTTTATACATGCCAAAATATAACATTACTTTACCTTTTTTCTTTCCTTTACATCCCCACAAATGTTTAGGCGAACAGCTCTAGTAGAACATGAGAAGTTTAAATTGTATTTTTCAAATGTTGACTATATCAGCTACATTGGATTTCAGACTGATCAAACGTATAACAACACTTAACAAGGGTCACCCAAGAATCGTTTCAAGATATTCGAACCATCATCCAACTAGTGGGGCATGTTGGCCATTTTCTTTTTCTGATCAGTACCAAAATTAAACAGGCACAGCTAGAAATCAAGAAAACATACACATGAAATTTGAGGAAAATATATGCTGTAGTTCTAAAAGTGAGATCCATTAAGTACTTTTCAAGCAATAGCGATTACAATCTTTATTTAAAAAATCCAATATGGCCGCCTGTCAGTCATTTTGTTTTTTTTATCAGTCCCAAAATAAGATTGGCACAACTAGGGACCAAGGGGAACCAACATATGAAATTTGAGAAAAATCCATCCAGTACTTCTCTAGATATAGCGATAACAAAAAATGTTTACAGACAGACAGACGGACGGACGGATAGACGACGGACCACGAACGTAGGGCGATTTAAATAAACTTTCCCTGTACCTCCTTCGTGATCTGTCCCTCATTTTGTACAATCCAATACAAACAAGCTTCGCTTTACCTTTTATCAGATCTTTAATATCTTAAGCGTCATTTTACAGAGAAATATTCGTTTGTAACGGAAAAGTATACGAAGACTATAAGCTAACACGTGCTAAAAATGACTTTCTATTTCGTAATATGATAAAACTCGCGGTCGCCAAAACTAATACACAAAACCTGAAATTATGAGGAAGAAAATTATTCCATTATGTGCTAAGTGGGTTATCTCCCCTACATATCGTATGTTTATTACCAGTAATCGTCAAACTGGTGTTTAGTTTTTAAACTGACAGACGTGGCAAGCAATCTAAATAAACAGCTCTGTTTATGTGCATTATAAGACGCCAGAGGTATAAAACAAAATCTCCTTCTAATCACACCAAAATAAACAGAAACTGAAAGTCTTCACAATGAAAAAAATGTCTCGGATGATATTTCCAATAAAGAGGACTCGTAATCTAGTTAAATGGCTCTCGGATCGTTTGATTTGGGGTTTGTTTATATACACAAATTAGAGCTATAAATGACGTTTTATACCCTTCTTACCGTTCTAGAAGTATCACAACAGAATTTTAGTGTAAGTAAGAAAGTATAGGTGTAATATTTTACTATATCATTTTATG